TCGGTACCCCTGAGCCTTACCAGGGGTCTCACGGTGTGGCTCTTCAGTGATCCTCAGTCCACTGGGCTCAGTACTTGGGGCTGATGATGCAATATTTCTGTGACCCAGATGCCGGGCAGGGGGAGGGCAGGGGTCAGGAATGCTGCGTCAGGGACAGAACTTGGGATTCTTGCATCCAAACCCTTAAAATGAACTTTTTTTTTTCCTAATGTGTTTTTCTTCATGAAAAAGGACCACATAAAATTTTGGATATAGGATCTAGATTCTGTTCCTGACTCTGTCATTTCTTAATTATTTGACCATAAACATCTGTGGGACTCCACAGCTCCATCAGTAATTTAGCGATCACACTGGTACTTAATTCTCAGGATTGTAGTGAAAATTATTAAGGGAGAGATTAATCTATAGGGATGCCAGGCTGCAAGTGGAATGAATGAAAAGAGAGTTCGTTTCTGAACTGAATGTGGGGCTCCCAGCACCCAGTCATCTCTGAACACTGGGGATGAGGTACTTGTGGCATGCAGAAAAACCGGAAGAGTCTCGTTGGGGAGAATGGGCACCTCCTGACCTCGGAGGGACCCTCAGGAAGCAGCCACGTCTGTTCTGATCCCCGTGGGGTAATAATTAGTGTCTGGACTGTGCTCCCAGGTGCTAGTTTAGTTCGTGTAGATAAATGGTCATCACATTTATCTCCAGGCACTGGGCAGAAGAACTCAGCAGTAAACAGAGACAGAACAGAGAGCAGACAGGCATTTTAAGAAATCCAGCGTTCACAGAGATTTCAGGGATTGTGGGCCAGGAGTGCGACTTGGTGATAGAACATTTGCCTTGTGTGTGTGAGGCCATGGGTTAGATTCCTTAAAAATGGAAATACCGTATCCATGAAGTTAAAAGTTTATAGCACATTTCAAGAAAGAAGGGCTGGAGAGATGGTACAGTGGGTAGGGATCTTGCCTGGCATGTGACCCACCTGGATTTGATCCCCAGCACCCTATAGTTTGGTCTCTTGAACCCCACCAGGAGTTATTCCTGAGCACAGAACCAGAGCCCTGAGCACTGCCAGGTGTTTACTCAAAACAAAACAAAACAACAAAAAAAAGAAAAAGAGTATTTTGAAGAAAAATAAAGAAAAACATAATATGGGCTGGTGAGATAGTCACTGTCATTGTCACTGTCCTCCCATTGTTCATCGATTTGCTCGAGTGGGCCCAGTAATGTCTCCTTTGTGACAATTGTTACTGTGTTTGGCATATCGAATACATCATGGGTAGCTTGCCAGGCTTTGCTATGAGGGCGAGATACTCTCGGTAGCTTGCCGGGCTCTCAAAGAGGGGTGGAGGAATCGAACTCAGATTGGCCATGTTGGCCACTTGCAAGGTAAACGCCCTACCTGCTGTGCTGGTGAGATAGTACAGGAGATAAATAGCTTAACTTGCATGCAGCTGACCTGGGTTTGATCCCCGGCATCCCATATGGCTCCCCTAAGCCCTCCAGGAGTGAATCCTGAGTCCAGCCAGAATCAGGAGTAACCCCTGAGCACCACTGGGTGTGACCCAACACTAACCCTCCCCCACACACAAGAAAAGAAAAAGTTGCTGTTAACTTTGAAAGTGTTAGAAGAAGAAGGAAAACCCAGAAACAGAATAAAGAAAAGGAACTCAGAGATTAGGGTTCCTAGAACAGTCTCCAGCTACGGGAGATTCCAGGAAAATACAGTAGAAGCAGAAATCAAATGAAAGGAATGCTAAAAAAAAGATGCCCTGATCAAGTGACTGGAGTTTCCAGGTTAGAAAAGAGCCATCTAGTGCCAGCAGAAAGGAGAAAAAGACATTTCCTGAGGCATTGTGGAATGATAGGACATGGGATCAAGAAAAGATTCTTTCTGTTTTTATTCAGGTACCATGATTTACAGAGCTGGTAATGACAGTTTCCGGCACACACTGTCCCAGCACCCCAGCCACCCTCAGAGTGTCAGCGTCAGCCCCCCAGTGTCCCATGACCCCCTCCCACCCCTGAGCCCACCCCAGGGCAAATCCCCGCCTGTAATGTGAGTCCCAGGGCTGCTGCCAGCAGCGGCCATTTGTTTCCCCCTTACTCTGTCTCTTAATGTCCCACGTAGGAGAGGGATGATTTTGTCCTTCTGCCTGTGACCGCACTCTCGTTCCACCCACAGAGCATCAAGTTGCAGGATTTCTTCTTTCCTCCTAGCTGGAGCGATAGCAAGCGGGTAGGGCGTTTGCTATGGCGGGTAGGAATCGACCCGGGTTCAATTCCTCCATCCCTCTCAGAAAACCTTGCAATCTACCGAGAGTATCCCACCTGCACGGCAAGCTCCCCGTGGCATATTCGATATGCCAAAAACAGTAACAGCAAGTCTTACAATGGAGACGTTACTGGTGCCCGCTCAAGCAAATTGATGAACAACAGGATGACAGTGATCCAGTGCTACTCCTAGCTTGTCTCCAAACCACAGTTTCTTCTTGAAGAAAAAAACGCCTTAAAAATTCCCTGGGGCTGGAGCGATAACACAGCAGGTAGGGCATTTGCCTTGCATGCGGCTGACCCGGGTTTGATTCCCAGCATCCCATATGGTCCCCCAAGCACCACCAGGAGTAATTCCTGAGTGTCTGAGCCAGGAGTAACCCCTGTGCATCGCCGGTGTGACCCAAAAAGTTTAAAAAAAAAATTATCTGTCCCTGGGGACATTGGTGGATTCTTGGGATTGGTGTTGGGGCATTGTGTGCCTGAAGCAACTCTTATAAACAGCCTTGTAAACCCGTCTTAATAAAAATTACATATCGGGGGCTAGAACAATAGTACAGCAGGTAGGGTGCCTACCTTTATGCAGCCAACCCAGGTTCAATCCCTGGCATCCCATATGGTCCCCCGAGCACTGCCAGGAGTAATTCCTGAGTGCAGAGCCAGGAGTAACTCCAGTGCATCGCCAGGTGTGAACAAAAAAGAGAAAAAAAAATTTACATTTTGGGGAGGGTGCAGAAAGATAGTAGGGGAGTTAAGTGCTTGCCTTGCGCTCAGCTGACTCTGGTTCCATTCCTGGCACCCCATATAGTCCCCCAAGATCCACGAGGAGTTATCCCCGAGGACAAAGCCTGGGTAAGGCTTGAGAACTGCTGGGTGTGGCCTTACCACATCTCCACCCCCTAAAATAGAAACAAAGAATCAGATCACCAGGCTAGCGGCCATCTTCTTGCCAGTGTCACAAGGAGGATGCCTCCATGTCTCCTGTGTCCTCTGCCCCGCCAGATTCTCACCTGTAGGTAGAGTATGGTCTGAAGCATGGGATCGAGGCTTCTCCAGACCCTCCCGATCTTCATCGTGTTAACCTCCTGACCACCCTATTTCAGCAAGCACTTAAAATACATTTCCACAGAAGAGAGGGAATGAGGGCGGTTAGGCGACATGGGAGTCTGAGAGGAAAGTTCTAGAAGCACAGGTGTGAGGCAGGCCCAGAAATCAGTTCTGATTGAGAGTTTGAGATCTGAGAAAAATGTAGTGTATTCGGACAGACTACAAGGATTTTCCATGATCATATTTGCTTAGGGATGAACTTGTGATAAGTACCTAATAAACTAATTATTAACCCAAATAAAAACAAAATGTTGCCCAAGAAGGGAAATTTAATAGTACACCACATGACTTAACTGTAAATCATTTATATAATGATAAATACTGAATATAGGCTTAACTGGAAATTGTGAAATAGCTAAATTGGAAGGCTGAGAAAAAGACATATAGAGGTGGGGGGAGGGGAACTTATATTAAACCCATATTTTCCTTGATAGGAAGTAAGTAACTAATATGTCAAGCTGAGAACAAAAATTTCAAAAAATAATAGTGTAACCTTGTAATTAAAGAGAATAGGAAATACAGGACGAAAACCTCAGAGTGTTGAAAAGCAAGAGAAAGAATACTGGTGGCATAAGCTCTATCATGTTTTCAAGTCTCTGTTTACTTTGGGTTAGAAATTAGATTCTGGGCTGAAAAGATAAAACGGTTAAGGCACGCGCCTAGCACGTGGCTGTTGCAGGGACCTTGGTTCCATCCCTGGCACTCACCCATGGTCCCTTGAGCACAGAGCCAGGTGTGGCCCAAAAACCAAAAGAAAAATAAATTTCCATGAGACAAATCCGTGGAACTCCATGTCTGTCCCTGCTGTGCTGGGACCCTGAGCAGCCTGTGTTCATGTTGTGTCCATCTCATCCCTACGTTCATGTTGTGTCCATCTCACCCCTGCGTTCATGTTGTGTCCATCTCACCCCTGCGTTCATGTTGTGTCCACTTCATCCCTGCGTTCATGTTGTGTCCATCTCACCCCTGCGTTCATGTTGTGTCCACCTCACCCCTTCACCCCTTCCTGTGCTGTGCTGCGTTGTCTGGGATGGATGAATTCCAGACGCAGACCCGCATTTGAACCTGCTCAGTTTGTATGACCACCCCAGTTGACGGGTCCATCACTTCATTGATGCCAACAAGAAGCCAGTGGCCGTCTTTCTCTGAACCATGCTGTTGATAGTTTGTCTAAAAATATTCATGAGGACAGTTTTGAATGTTTCCTTCTCTTTACCTCATCATTTGCTTTTTATGATTAAAGAACTGGAGGGGCCGGTGGGATCATACTGTAGGGAAGGTGCTGGCCTTGCACGGGGCTGACCCTAGCCCACGTCTCTGGCACCAGGTTCCCTGAGCCCCACCAAGAGTGATCCCTGAGCACAGCCAGGTGGGGCCCCAAATCAAAATGAAATGAATAAATGGATCGCGTTCCAGCTTACTCTGGTTTCTGTGGGAGCCCTTTCTTACGCAGTTTGTTTTGTTTTGTTTTGGGGCCACACCTGGCAATGCTCAGAGGTTGCTCTAGGCTCTGCACTTGGGAATCACTCCTGGTGGTGCTCCGGCGACCATACGGGGTGCCAGGGACCCTGCTGGGTTATTTGTCCATCCCCGTCTGACACGCTTTTAACATGGTTTCTCCCTATGACCAGGGCCGCAAGCTTCTCATCATTGGGACCACTAGCCGCAAAGATGTCCTTCAGGAGATGGAGATGCTTAATGCCTTCAGCACCTCCATCCATGTGCCCAACATCGCCACAGGAGAGCAGCTCATGGAGGCTCTGGAGGTGAGTGTCCGGCGGCCACCGTGAGCTGCCTATAAGGAGGGGGTGGGGCCGGAAATGTGCCAAGCGCCCCAGACAGCGCAGCTGGCGGTTCATTTGTTTAACCTCGAACCTGGGACCTGGCACGCACTTTCCGTCATTCTCGGGAATTAGAAAAGGAGATGGTATCGGTGAGAGTGAATTCATCACCAGCTCAGCAGAGCCAGCATGCGAACTCACACCATGCCAGGCGTGACTCATGCCAGGCCCAGCATGACTAACGCTCCGGGTTACGTGGCAGAGATACTTGGAAGGGGGGCGAAGAAGTGATCAATAGATAGAAAACTCTAGTCATTTCTCTATCTTCCAGCCCATCTAGTCGCATGTAATAAATCGAAACAGGTCTTAGGAGCTTCAAGTGAGCTTCAGAAGTAAAGGAAACTGCTTTAGAAGGCGAGCGATAGGACAGTGGGTAGGGCGCTTGCCTTACACACAGCTGACCCAGATTCACTCCCAGGCATCCCATATGGTCCCTTGGGAGCACTGTCAGGAGTGATCTCTGAGCACCTTTGGGTGTAGCAAAAAAAAAAAAAAGCTTTATTAATGAGTTTATAATATAGAAATTGTAAAACTTTTTTGAGGATGATTTTTTGTTTGTTTGTTTGTTTGTTTGCTTTTTGCTTTTTGAGTCACCTGGTGATGCACAGCGGTTACTCCTGGCTCATGCACTCAGGAATTACTCCTGGCAGTGCTCGGGGGACCATATGGGATGCTGGGAATCAAACCCGGGTCGGCCTCTTGCAAGGCAAACGCCCTACCCCTGTACTATCACTCCAGCCAGAGGATGAGATTCTCCTTATTTTTAAATATGTCTATCAAATTTTGGATTACAGGCAGCATACATAAGAGTCTTCAGATCTGTTAGAAAATAATGGTCTAATGTTCTGCCATGTCAGGAAAATGCCTTAAAATCCCCCAGGCCTTACAGTTGGCCCACATTCCCCACAAAACAGAAACTATCCATATGATAAATGTCTCCCAGGTACCTGTTTGAGCAGCTTTTGTGCCAGGATTGGGAAAGAGAATTAAATTTAGTCTGCTTTGACACATACAGCTTGTTCCTAGAAAGGAATGTTAAAAATTAAAACTGATCTTTTTTTGTGTTTTTTTTTTTTGTTGTTGTTGTTGTTTGTTTTTTTGGGGGGCCATACCTGGCAGTGCTCAGGGCTTACTATTGGCTCTGCAACTGTACCTCTAAATTATAATAGAGGCCGTGAGAAATTTGGGTTTGAGATGCCAGGTTCACTTTCAGAAAGAGGTCCTAAGAAGGTTCTGGAAAGTTCAGGTTAGATGTTTAAACAGGAGCAGCACCCTGTGGGCTTAAAGGAGTGAGGTAGTTTCTTATCACTGATCCTTCCACTGAGGTCCGTGAGCCCTAACTGCCACTGTGGGCACCTTCATTGTCTTGTTCATTGATTCTTTCATTTATTCATGTTTAGCTTTTGGGCAACTTCAAGGATAAGGAGCGCACCACCATCGCCCAGCAAGTCAAAGGGAAAAAGGTCTGGATAGGAATCAAGAAGTTGCTGATGCTGATTGAAATGTCCCTACAGGTAAGATTTCCCACACCGAAGCTTCTTGATTTACCGGGAGGTAAATCAATCAAGTATTTTTTATTTCCTTTTGCTAAGGTTTCAGCTCAGCTATAGTTCTCCTGTATTATTTTTTAATTCAGCAACAAGATTCTGGGAGCAACCCTTACTCGTAGTAGAACTTTTTTCTCACTCCCTTCTTGAAACTTGCAAGTCGCAGGAAGAGTATTCAAACCCTTCGGATCTCAGAACCAGCCCTCAGCATCTCCCAGGCTGCTGTGCAGTTGTCCACGACCACTGGATGGTCGGTGTTGGAGGGGAGACAACTTGGTTCCTCGAGGTCAGCCAGCCTCCCTGGAGGCTGTTTTAAGGAAGCACTTAATTGAGTTGTAGGAATTAGCCCTGGGCATTGTTGGTGCTTGTGACTGGACTCCAGGACTTCCTGCAAGTTGCTGTTGAGTTGAAGCATCCAGGATCTCAGGAAACTGAGTCCGTGCCTTCTGCTCCGGATTTCCACCCTGTCCCCTGCCCCGTGCCCAGACCACAGCTCTTGGAGTCTGGGGCCCTGAGTGTCCTTCGAGGGTACACAGCCTGTATCTTGAGGACAGTGGGTAGCTTCTGTCGAAGAAACCCGCCAAGCTCCCGGGCCTGCTCCCTGGCTGTGCACGGAGGGTGGCTGGGACCTGCCTGCCGTCAGGGCTTGTCTCTCTTGTCGGTTTGTTTTTGTTTTTTGCCTTTGTTGGAAGTTTATTTTAAAATGAAACTCTGGCTTTCAGCAGCTCGATGTCTAATCTAGTGAACTTTCAACTGGACTGTTTCGGAGCCAATTTTTCCCCCCTGTATGAATCATAAATTAGAGTTGCAGGCTAATGACTTCACGTTGGATTGTTCTCGGTAACGTCGGACGTACAGATGTCCTGGCGCTTTCCCTGGAAGAAGATAAATCTGTCAGATAGTCTGCGCCACTCTTCGCTTCATTCTCCCCCCTTACCCCCCACCCACCCACCCACCCACCCCCAGTTTCAGCATGATTTTTTTTTTCCCCAGTAATTGCATAGAAGAAACTATGTGGGTTTTTCGCCCAATTCCCTCCCTACCCCTGGCCCTTCCTTCCCTGCCTGCAGGTCAGTGATCAAGTTAATGCCTCTGCTGTATGTGGGGTAGGAAGCCGGAGTGAGGCACTCAGGCCTAATCTCCAGCCGCTGACACTTCATAGGCCTCAGAGCTTGAACCCCCTCATGTCAAATGGATTTCGTGCAGCTGAGTGAATTCTCCTTAGATGTGCCCGAGAGACACCGGCCTCAGCGCCGAGCTATGCAGCCGCGCAGAATCCCAGTCATGTCGCCTGGCGGTGCGCGCCACACAATTCTGTTAAAACTTGCAGGGCGCTGAGGATCTGCTCTGACTGGATGTCACCTGAGGGAATAAAGTCATTTATCTAGATTACTTTTTTCCTCCCTTTCTCTCGACTTTTAATTCCATAGCTACAGGCAAGTCGGTAAGTCGTTGCTCACACATATTAAATATATTTAATGGGCGAAGACCGGCAAGTGCTGACTCCGACAGAGCTCCAGCCAGTTCTAGTTCTTTCTTTCGTCCTTTTTTTTTTTTTTTGAAGAACTTGACAATTGATTCATATGTAATTCTATTCCCAAGGAGGGAAAAATGTTTCTTTTGTTAGCTATTCACACTTTTTTTTCCAAAGTCCTTTGTAGTCTGACCTCTTAACTTTGATACATTTGAAACTTCTGTTTTTCTAGTATAGGCCAGAAGAAATCACAGGAGTTTTGTTTTGTTTTGTTTTTTCCCTCAGAGGTTGGAGGGGTTGCACATCCCCCTGGCAGCTGCATTTAAAAGCCTGAGGGCAGAGAGGTCTCTCTTGGGAAACAGACTCCAGCCCTGAGCTTGCTTGCTTGCCTGCTTTATTTATTTATTTATGCTTAGGTGTGTTTTCTTACAATAAAAATTTGGGGCCGGAGTGATAGTACAGTGAGTAGGGTGTTTGCTTTGCACACAACTAACCTTAAGTTCTGTTCCGGGCATTCTGTGTGGTCCCCTGTGATACAGAGCACACCAGAAGTGAGTCCTGAGCATGGAGCCAGGAGTAAGTAAGCCCCAAGCATCACCGGGTGCAGCCCAAAAACAAAATAAAACAAGAATTTAAAAATAAAAACTTACTGGAAGGAAGTAAAGATGTCTTTAATGATTATTCTTTAGATCACTGCACTTCTCCAGTGGACCCATGAAAATGAAACATAGTTAAGTGGGTAGAAAAGTGACTGTAGGATGAGAATGAGGAAGGACAGTAAGGACGTGAGCGAGCCCCTGATCCAAGCGCCCCCACTTTTCTTCCATTCACAACCGTGCTCAGTTACAGAAGACCAGACTCTGGCCATCACCTCAAAGGAATTCACCCGCTCTCTGCATTTTTTTTGTTTGTTTCAGCACAATTTTTTTTTTAATTTTAGATCAATTGTGAGATTAATTGTGAACCAAGCTATCGCACAGCAGGCAGGGTGTTTGCCTTGCACACGGCTGACTCAGGTTTGATTCCTCCATCCCTCTTAGAGAGCCTGGCAAACTACCGAGGGTATCCCATTTGCACAGCAGAGCCTGGCAAGCTCCCCATGGTGTATTCCATATGCCAAAAACAGGAACAAGTCTCACAATGGAGACGTTATTGGTGCCCGCTCGAGCAAATCGATGAACCACAGGAGGACAGTGCTATAGATTAGTTGCAGAGAAAAAACCTTGCCAGGTGAAGCAAAACTCAGTTATAGAGAATTAATCAGCTACATTTTCATCCCTCCAACTTCCATTGGTTGCTTCAGGTTTGGTCTCACTCTGAGGCCTTAGGTCAGTCCTGTGACTAGATGCTGGTGAATGCCCGGAGTGGCCGCTGTCTTGCCTCCCTCTGGTGCCTGCCTCTCTGCTGTGCAGAGCTGTGCCCCTCCCACAGCACCAGCTAAGGGGCACCCGGCTGAGGTGCCTGTGATGTGCCCTCTGGGCCTTCGGTGCTTTCCGCATGGTACCAACCCATGCTAGAGAATCCCGCTACTCCTCTCAGGGACGACCTTGGCCTTGCTGCCTACCAGAACGCTGGTCACGAGCAGGTGATACGTTTCTATGGCTCAACGAGTAATGGCTGCAAGTATGAAACAGAGCCTCTCGTGGCAGCAAATCAGTACAGTTATTCGGAGACCCACCGTCTTCCCATTGACCCACCTTCTTCCATTGTATTTAGATGGATGCGGAATATCGTGTGAGAAAATTCCTGGCCCTTTTACGTTCAGAAGAAGGAACGTAAGTACATACAGCACTTAATTTTTTTTAATTCTTTTAGTTTCGGGCAATGTTCAGGGGTTACTCCTTAGCATCACACTCAGGAGTTACTCCTGGCAGTGCTCAGGGGACCATATGGGGTGTCAGGGAACGAACCCAAGTAGGCTGCATGCAAAGCAAGCGCTCTACCTCTGTATTTTCTCTCCAGCCCCACTCCAGACCCTCAACCAAACTCAACACGGTTAAAGCCCAGGGCCTAGTCTTGGACGACGCTCTGCAGGGCCCATGGCATGCTCGAGCTCTCCGGACACTCTTTTTCCTGTTTATTAGAATTCTTTGCTGTGTTGTAGGCCCGAGAGATCCAGCAAGGACACGGGCTGCACTGGTGGTTTGCTCTCCCTTTCCTGCTTCGCAAAGTTTCCCTGTCGCAAGGCAGAAAAACACTGAATGGTATATATTTGTTGGACTCTGCTTTGTAATGCATGGAACTTGGACCATTTTTTTTTAAATTTGCGCCTTCTAGTAAATGCATAGTGAGGGAAACATAGTGCCCCTCTGGGGAAGCTTCTAGTGGTCTTTGGGACCATCAGCCATGTGCGGACCCTCATGCTCTCCTGTGCCCCGGTGTCTTCCAGTTGTCCCCTGGACTATGAAAGCGAGTTCTTCTCAGGCACAGACTGACCACGAGACATGACCAAGGTGACGAGGGACTCGACGCTTCCCTCCACTCCCTCGAGATACTGGACTCAGTGAAACGTGTCCTGCCTCCACCTGTGCTCGCCCCGCATGACCTGTGCAATCCGCCCCCCTCCCCGCTCTCGACCGCGGCCTGGTGGCAGGTTTCTATTTGCTATCGAATTCTGTGCTTACTTCTCCGTGCAAGCTGAATGATTCCTTCCTCCTCAGTCCTCAGGCGTGTGTGTGCGTGTGTGTGTGTGTGTGTGTGTGTGTGTACGTGTAGAGGGTCGGGGGCGCAGTCCCTACTGTCTTTGTGAACACTATCTTTTCCGCTCCCTCCTCCTCCCACCACCCCCAAAACTCTCAAGGAATCACCTAATGTAGCAGAACAACACTTGGCCTGTTCGAGGGAACGTTGTGGACCAAGAATAGCAAGCTTGGCTTCCCCCAGGCTGACCCGAGAGGCAGTGGGGTTTGGGGCTGAAGGGTCCCAGAAAGCTGGTTGTCACTTCCATCTGACAGAACAGGGCTTGGTGGTCCTGAGCTGCTGAGCTCAGTGGCTTTTGAGGCCGTTCCCAGGTGCAATCGAGAGATCTTTCTTCAAGAGAGTCAGAACCGAGTGGCTGTGGCATCCCTGGCAGAAACCTAAGAACAGACCTAGGTGGAGAAGCGTGTGCCCCTCGGCTAGCAAGAGTGAAAACACCCTCAGCCCCGAGGAACATCCCTGTCAAGTGGGTCTGCTCCTTTGTAGACTAACTGAGGCTGAAAGGGCCACCCCTTTCCTTCCTCCCCAAATTTATTGACTTAGGATGTGCCCTTCCTTTGCTTTAAGATGATCAGCTGTGCTGCCTGGCATCTAAAGGAGCCACTTTCTGCCCGACTACCCCCACACCTCTGCCCTGATTGTCATTCCAGTTCTCAGAACACATTTCCTTTGCCTGCTGCCTCCCATCGGCAGGGCCATCGGGGTGTAGTGTGGGGGAGGGGGGGAGCGGGTTCTCTGAGTCCAGCTGTCCTGTTGGTGTCAGGAGTTTAGTAGCGGGCCACTCTCGCCCCTGTGCTGCTGAAGACCCCAGGTAGAGAGGGCAGGCAGGGTCGCGCGCTGCTTCCCGCTTCGGGCCACTTGCTGCCGTGCCACCATGGCCGAGGGCCGACTGTCTCCAGATCATAACTTTCCGTGTACTTTTTGCAAGACTCATGCGTCAGATCTACTTTGGAATTTCAAGCTTCTTTTGTGGCTTTTTACATTGTGGACTTGACCATATTGCAAAAGGCCCTGGTTCCCAGTGGTCTCGTGTCCCACCCTCACCCCACCCTGAGTCTCTTATTTGTTTGAGCCCTTACCTGGCTCCTCTCCCCCCAGACAAAGCACACCTTATACCCACTTCTGTCTCTTGTGAAGTGAGGCTGACGTCTTTGTTGTGTCCAAAACTATATTGAGAAATAAAAATACTATATTGTTTAATGCAAATGAAGGAATGCAATAAAGAGTACATATAATTGAAAATAGGCTGCAGACCAGTTTTCTTTTGTTTTTTATTTTTTGTACAAAACACATCTAATGAATGTGAGCAGGTAGAGGGGGAGGCACTCAGGAAGGCATCTCCGTGTTTCACTAGAAGATGAAGGACTTTGATTTTCAAATCCCGCATTTGGGGCTGAGGAAGTAGTGCAGAGGTGAAGACCATGACCAGCTCCAGCTTGGCTGACCGACAACCCCAGTTCAATTCCCCCTGCCAGTAGGATCCCCCAAGCACTTCCAGGAGTGATCCCTGAGCACTGCCAGCTGTGACCCAAAACAAGATTTCTGGATTTTGTTTTTTGGTTTTTTTTTTTTTCTTATTTTGAGGCCTTGATTTGTTTTGGTTTTTAGCTTTTGGGAGCCATACCAGGCTGTACGCAGAGATGATTCCTGGCTCTGCGTTTAGGGGACTATGTGGGGTGCCAAGGATTGCACCTGGGTTGACCACATGCAAGGCAGGCAGGCACCCTACCCTCTGTACAACTCTCGGCTCCCTGGTTTAATTTTTTAAGAAGTTATAATTATTGGGCTGGAGCGATAGTGGGTAGGGCACTTGTCTTATTACATACAGCAGACCTGGGTTCAATTCCCTGTGTTCTGTATGGTGCCTCAGGCCCCATCAGGAGTGATTCCTAAGGACAGAGCCAGGAGTAAGGCTGGACACTGCTGGGTGTGACCTGAATACACACACAAAAAGGGAGGGGGACACAATAAAATATTTGTATCTAAAACTTATTTTACTATAAAAAGCCAAAAAGTTACCCAAGCCATAAATGGATTAGTAACAAGCCAGAAAGAAAAACTGTTTTGCAAAATTGCTCCTTCATATAAAATGTACAAACCTTGAGACTCATCTTTTGTGATTGGGGGGGGGGGGGGGGCGGAGGCGGGTGTTGTTTTGGCCACACCTGAGGTGTTTGGGGGCTCCTCCAGCTCTGTGCTCAGGGGTCACTCCCAGCAGTGCTGTGCCTATGCTGTGCCAGAGATGAAAGCATGTGTTCAGCCCCCGCCCCCCCCCCGGGCCCCCTCGGGCCCCAGCATGCACTCTTCATGTGGTTTGGTATCTTCACCCTTTTTTTTTTTTCATATACATTTATTTCTTAGACTCCTGATCCTTAGAGTTGGCTGAAGTAGGACAAAAGTCTGTCCGGAATATAAAGTAACATAATTGGAAACTAACACCTAAGCACAGTAGAGATAAGGGCTAGGAGGATCACTCCACTGCTTGGAAACTGATCTCATGTGCTGGGGGGAAAGGCAGCTGGGATAGAGAAGGGACCACTAAGTAAATGATGCTTGGAGGGCTTGCTTGGGATGGGAGATGTGTGCTGAAAGTAGACTCTGGACCAAACATGATGGCCGCTTAGTTCCTGTCTTGCAAACCACAACACTCAAAGGAAGAGAGAGTAAGAGGGATTGTGCCTGCCACAGAGGAAGGGGGTGGGAAGGTAGGGGGGGTGGCAGGAGGGGTAGGGGGAACATTGGTGGTGGAAAATGGGCACTGGTGGAGGGATGGGTACTCGGTCATTGTCTGACTGAAACGTAATCACGAAAGTTTGTAATTTTATTTTAACAAATCATGGTGATTCATTACAATAAAATTTTAAAAAAAAAATAAGTCAGTCCAGAGGCGGAGAGAACTCGAGCTGGACCACACACCTCTGCACGGCCCTGGGCTTTGTGGAAAAAGGCCCTTTTCAGTGTTTCTCTGGTGGTGGACTTGGCCCCCCAGGAGCTGTCCACTCCCTTCTGGAGGAGGACCCGAGATGGAGCTTGGCAAGGTGCCATCACGAACATGCCCAGAACTCTGCAGAGCCAGCGCTGCCCTGGGCACAAAGGCTTGCCCTTGGTGGTGGGGGGGTAGCCAGTGGCTTGCGACCCACCTCTCTCCTCCAGGAGCCAACTGCTAATGGCTGGATGCTTCGAGACATGGGCTTGATTAGGTTTTGTTTTGCTTTTCATGTAATCAAGGACTTTATTTTAAAATGAGTTATTTGGGCTGGAGAGATAACACAGCGGGTAGGGCGTTTGCCTTGCACGCGGCCGAGCCAGGTTCAATTCCCAGCATCCCATATGGTCCCCTGAGCACTGTCAGGAGTAACTCCTGAGTGCAGAGCCAAGAGTAACCCCTGTGCATCGCCGGGTGTGACCCAAAAAGCAATAAAATAAAATAAAAAATAAAGTGAGTTATTTTATCCTTTCTAAACTTGTACATCCTTTCTGAAACTTTTGTTTTTGTGTGGGCCACTTTTGGCTAAGGGCTTACTCCTGACTCTGCTCAGGGATCAACTCCTGATGGTGCTCCGGGCACATGATCCAGGCATTGAACTGGGGTTGGCCGCTTGCTGGGCAAGTGCCATCCCCACTGTACTATCTCTCTGGGCCCATGATGGTAGATTAACTGTAAAATATGTTTTTGTGTTGAAGCTGTCTTTTCCTGGACCAGAGTGATAGTAGAGTGGGTAGGGTATTTGCCTTGCACATGACTGACCCTGGTTCTGTCCCCAGCATCCCATATCATCCCCGGAGCACTGTCAGGAGTAATTCCTGAGCAGAGCCAGGAGTAACCCGTAGCATTGTCGGTATGACCCAAAAGAAGCCACACACACACACACACACACACACACACACACACACACACACACACACAAAGCTGTCTTTTTAACTGAAACTCAAACACAAAAGTTTGTAAGTCTACAACTCTATCTCATGGTGTCTCTAATATAAATAAATAAATAAACAAATAAAATGTGAAAAAAAGGAAAAGCTGTCTTTTCCTATCTCAAGTAAGAGTGAACAGCCTCCCCTTTAAGATTCAGAAAAACACAGAGCAGATTCAGGTGTATTTAGTAGTCACAGTCCTGTCAACAGACTTGCTGAAGCTCTGAGTCAACTCTGAACAACCTACCCAGCCCAGATGCAAAAGGTAAAAGCCAGGCTTCATTTCCCTTGCCTGGCAACTCCGTCTGTACACCTCATCAAAGATGTGACTGGGGTCTGGAGCGATAGCACAGCAACTAGGGCATTTGCCTTGCATGCAGTCGACCTGGGTTCGATTCCCAGCATCCCATATGGTCCCCCGAGCACCTCCAGGAGTAATTCCTGAGTGCATGAGCCAGGAGTAAACCCTGTGCATTGCTGGGTGTGACCCAAAAAGCTAAAAAAAAGAAAAAAAAGAAAAAAAAGAAAGATGTGACTTGGAAAGGGGTGTGTGTGTGTGTGTTCAAAAAAGCATGTAAATATCAGACATTGTTGCAAAATGATCTTAAGTATCTTATCAGCTGAGAAACAGTTCCAGGATTGGGCCACGAGCTGAGTACACACAGGCATGTGCTGTGCCCCTGACACTGGGTTAAGATGTGGTAGATAGGCGGCACCTGTGATGGGTGTGATCCCAAGGCTCGTGCCGCCATTTGCAAGGACTCAGGGTAGAGAAGCTTCCAACAGCCACTCTCCGCAACACTGACCTTTGCTTCACTAGTTAGGGAGCAATGAGATTAATGGTAAGATAATGCAGAACATGCACTCATTATGCCTCCTAGAAAGTTCTCTCAAGGGGCAGGAACAATAGTACAGCGGGTAGGCGGTTTGCCTTGCATGTGACCAACCTGAGTTCGATTCCCAGCATCCCATATGGTCCCCCAAGCACCGCCAGGAGTAATTCCTGAGTGTAAAGCCAGGAGTAACCCCTGTGCATCACCAGGTGTGACCCAAAAAGAAAAAAAAAAAAGAAAATTCTCTCAAGCTAGAAGTGATGTCAGCACATGGCTGTCTTTTCTAAATTACCTTCCTGTGTCATGTGCAGGCCAACCATGTACATCAGTACATGTTCACAGACCCAGGAGTATCAATATACATGCCGGGGTCACTGGTACCATCAGGGGCTTGTCTGGAATTTCTTAGCACTTGCCCCTCCCTTTCCTTACCTTATCTCCTTTCACCTTGTAATTTCTCTCTTTTGGGTCTTTTTGCTTGTTGGGTGGGGGGGGGGGTTGGTTGGGGTTTTTGTTTTGTTTTGGGTTTTTTTGTTTGTTTGCTTTTGGTTTTTGGGTCACACCCAGCAGCAGTGCTCAGGACTTTCTCTGTGCTCAGGGATCACTCCTGGCAGGGCTCTTGGGGGACCATATGGGATGCTGAGGATCAACCCCACGTCAGTTGTATGCAAGACAAGCACCCTATCAACTATGCTCTGGCCTATACTATACTATTGGTCTGACCCTTACCCTCTCTTTCTTGTTTCTTGCTTGGGGGCCACTCTTGGTGATGTTCCAAGATTAATTCTGGCTCTGTGCTCAGGAATTAGTCCTGGCAGGACTCTGGCACCATGTGGGATAGGATACCGGAAGTCGAACTAGGGCAGCCATGCAGAAGGCGAGCACTCTATTAGCTGTGCTCTCTCTCCAGCCCTGTTCTCCCATCATTCTTAAATTTTCTCTCCTACCTATCTTCCTATCTTCCTACTGGAAAAAATAACTTCTCAATATACTGCTTTTCCTTTTGGGTTTTTTCTTTTGTTGGTATTTGGGTCCCCAGTGAGTGGTGTTCAGAGATCGGCCCACAGGCACTGGATTTTCTGGGCTTGCCACAGAACTCTGGGCTCCTGCGTGCAGAACATGCACTCATTATTACTATTTCTGCTCAAGGAGAAACTAAATGTTCAAACACTGCTATAAACCATTCTCTTTTAATCACAAAATATGAGTAATGGTAGAATGCAACACAACGGGCTGAGAAAGTCTGCATAGACGCCAATTCAATCTTTTGGGGGTGGGATGAGTTTTGGGGCCACTTCTGATAGTACTTAGGGGCCTATTCCTAGCTCAGTGTTCAGGGGTTGTTCTCAAGGACCCAGGTAGTGCCAGAGATCAAACCCAGGCCTCCTGCTTGCAGACATGTGCTCAGCCTGTTGAGCTCTTTCCTGCCCAATGTTAGGCAATTTTAGAGGTTTTAAAAAACAATGGGGGTGGGGTAGGGCTGGAGCAATAGTACAGTGAATAGGGCATTTGCCTTGGACGCGGCCGACCTGGATTCAATTCCCAGCATCTCCCAAGCACCGCCAGGAGTAGTTACTGAGTATAAAGTCAAGAGTAACCCCTGTAGAGAAGGGAGCACCAAATAAAGGGTGTTGGGAGGATCCTCCCAGGATGGGAGAAGCATGCTGAAAGTAGACTATAGAACAAACATGATTGCCACTCAATGCCTCTTTTGCAAACCACAACCCCCAAGAGAGAGAACAAAAGGGAATGCCCTGCCACAGAGGCAGGGTGGGATGGGGGGATATGAGGGGGAGGGATACTGGGACCTGTGGTGGTGGGAAATGGGCACTGGTGGAGGGATGGGTATTTGATCATTGTATAATTGAAACCCAAGCACAAAAACTTGTAAGTCTACAACTGTACCTCATGGTGTCTCACTAATAAAAATTTAAAAAAAAAAAGAGTAACCCCTGTGCATTTCCAGGAGTGACCCAAGGCGGGGGGAATACTGGGGCCAGAGAGATAATACAGTAGGTAGGACATTTGCCGGGCATGTGGCCAACCCAGTTTGATCCCTAGCGTCTGCACTGCTAGGAGTAATTCCTGAGCACAGAGCCAGAAGCAACCCCTAAACAGCAGTGGTATGGTAACCAAAAAAAAACAAAATTAGTGCTGGGACAGTTGCACAGTGGGTAGGTCCTTTGCCTTGAACTCGACCAATCCAGGTTTGATCCCTGGCACCACAAATTGTCCCCCAATCCCTGCCAAGTGATCCCTGAGCACTGCTGGGTATGGCCCCAAAACAACACACAAAATCAGTACTTGGGCTGGCTGGATAGTATGGTGGGTAAGGCAATGACCAACATGGATTCTATCACTGGCACCAAATATGCCCCCGAGCACCGCCAGGAGTGATCTCTAAGCACAGAACCAGGAGTAAGCCCTGAGCACAGCTGGGTGTGGCTCCAAAACGAAACAAATCCAGGTGAGTATCAGCTCCAGGTGATGGTGAGCCTTTCCCGGAGATGACTCTGTGTCCAATTTCTCCCTCAGAAGAAGCAACTGATTCTTGTGACTTCAGATTTTTTTCAGGAACTAAATGAGTTCATAAGCAGAGTGTCCTTATTAGGATTCCTAATCCTTTCGATTCTAGATAGAATCTTTCAGAGGTCTGAATGGAGTTCAGGGTTTTGGTTTCCTGGGTTTCCTGGTGGTTGTTATATTTTTCTATGAAGTGAAATGAGTAAGGTTTGCACCCAATAAAGGTAAATCAGAAGAAAAAGGAATTTTGCTGAGCCAAGTGAAGATGACATTTTATGGGATGGTGTGAAGACCAAAGGGTTTTCTCATAAAACTGAGTTCTAGCATCTTCTGGTGGAGAAGGTGTAACCTGTGTGCCTCAGGGGAGCCCTTTGAAGCCCAGCGCCTGGCAGGGCGGGCGTGAGGAGGGCCTTCCCAGAGCCTCCACCCAAACCCTATGAACCCCAGAGACCCACACCCACCATCCCAATCCCCACCCCGCCTCTCCATGGTTTCCCTCTTCCAGCCATTTCTGGTCAAGTTTCATTTCAATAGCACAAATCCTATTTTCACAGTAAATGGAAAGTTGAAAATGGAGGAGGGCAGGGCTTTTACTCGGACAGCCAGCCCCGTGGTCCACTGGCTCCGAGCTGCCTCTCTGTAATATCTGTGCCCTGGACACATCCGTGAGACAGCTCAAATGGTCTATTTCCAAATCGAGAAGGTCTTTGCTAAGTGTAGATGCTGGCTTAGGACAAAGGCAGCGGGTGGGAGTCCTGGGGTCCATTAATCTCACTGTTTAGGATGTCTCCGAGGAAATGACCATAATTAGGGCCACCCATTCAATAGTGAAAGTTGAGGCCACCACCCGGAACCCCACAACCATGCAGGGCCAGTGCCCAAGGCCTGGAATCTCATCCTCTGGTCTGGAAACCCCACACATTGTACAATGTATCCATTTGAAGTTTGTTTACCTTCTCTTTAATGACTTAACAGAAAAAAACTGCATGATGAAATATATTTTCTCCAAATATATATATATTTATATAATATATAATCTTAGTTAACTCAAAGGTATATACATTGTATAATAAATAATATTTATAAAAAGAGACTTTTTGAATATAAAATCAAAAAGATCAACAACTTCTACAGCTTTTTACAAACCTTTGGATACAGCAGGTCGGTAGGGAATTTCTGTTGGATACTATGACCCGACTACAGCAAGAATCATTACAATGCGCTCAATGGACTATTATTAAATAATTACTTGTCAGCTACTTGAATACGCCCCAGAAACATGACTTTATCACTTTTAATATAGAATACATAGATATGAAAAGACTTGGAAAATTTGTATCCACGCTGCTGAAGTAATTCTCACGGAAGCAAGCATTATCCAGTTGACATGATTGAGAACTTGAGTCTGGTGAGATGAGGGGCAGCTCAGATGGGAGAGGGCATGGGGTGTCTCGGAGCAGGCTATGCTGCCCAAGGTTTGGGGGAGCAGGGGCAGGCCTGGCTCCTAGATGGTTTTGCTGAGCCCCATCCTCCCACCCCCTCCCCCCCCAGGGCAGGCAGGAAGGCTGGCTGCTGAACCTGGTTTTGTGGGTCAGTGTTAGACCAAAGAGAGAAGGTGGAAAAGAAAGGGAACGTGGTTTCATTCCATGCCCAGGCTGCATCTCTCTCTCCTTTCTGCAGCTTCTTAAGACGGAGCTGGGGGCCTGGCCGAGCCTTCAGATCTGTGTGCCAGTTTCCGAGATTTCTCTAGAAGGCCAGGATGGCATTGAGAGCCATTCCCCAGGGCTGGGCCCATGCTCCCTCGGCAGAGAGCTGAAGCCAGGGATGGCAGTGGAAGATTCCACTCACAGGAGGCCCATCGCCTCCCCGTGTCCCAACCTGGGGCTGCGGGCAGGCTTCATGCCATGTGCCCTGCAGTCCAGCTGCTCTGCCCGTGTTTCTGCAGAATCTGTAGACGTGCAGGAGGGGATCTAGGGGGGTGGGGCACTCACTAGCCCCTTCTCCCCCGAGGGAGGCTTCGCCACCCCAGACATCACCTATTTACAACACCCACCACCCAAAGGTACAGAACAGCAGGAGCAGAGGCTGGACGAAGAAGGACCCATAGCTGCCCTCCGAACATTCTGGAACCCCACTGCCTACTCCAGCCGTGCCTCAGCCCTGTCTGCTAGCTGGACCTATGGCTTTGGTTAGAACGTGCCAGCCCACTGGAATGGGGGCAGACCAGAAAGGGGTCGCAGGGGTCTGCCCCTTCCCCTTCAGGCATCTGAGAGTCCCCCCCCCCCCATACACACACACCCAGGAAGCAGTTTGGAAAACGGGGTTGCGCCCGAGCTGAGGTCTTCAATGCCAGGCAGGAGCTCGCATCGCCGAGCCCGTTGTGTCGAAGGAGACGTTTTGTTGTTCGTCTTTATTTTCTTTCACACGTGCAAAGATAAGCCTCGGGCCTGAGGCGAGCAGACCCTAGAGAAGGAAAAGGAAAGCCCCTTCCACGCACCATCCGGGGCAGCCAGAGCAGGAGACGGGGGTCGGCGGCCGTGGGCGCTGCAGTCCGAGACCCCAGCCCGGCTCCAGAACCTGCTCCCCGGCGGACTGCGGTGAATTTGCCCGGCCACACGCTTCACCCGGTCCTGGGACCCTGCAGGGAATGAAGTGGAGAAATCAGCCACGGGCTCGTTCCTGGGAGGGCAGAACCCAGAGCTGCCAGGGGAGGTGGGCGCTCAACACGTCTCTGGCAGTGGGAGGTGACTGCTCCCAGACTTGGGGGTCTATGGCAGGAAGAGGGGATCCCCAGGAATGGGCAGGCTCTGGTGTGGCAGACCCAGACTCAAACCCTGCCCATACACGCCCCTGCCCGCCCCCCATGACCGGACTGCGAGAAGCCCCATCTCCGAAGCCCAGGGCAGATGCTGAGCACCAGGCACCGATTCTGCACCAAACCCTGCGACATAGGGTGCCCACGCACACTTTGCCCTCTCTGTCTAGTTGCATCCCAGGCAGTCCAGGGAGGCCCCGAGTGCGGTCACAGGCGTCAGCTCCCCCCAAGTGCTGACGGAGGCAGCAAGAGACGTTTTATAGGGGCAGAAGCCGAGGCTGAGGGAAGCCAGATCAAAGGGGCAGACCCAGGACTCGGCGGATGAGTGAGCCACCGGCACTTCCGGCCAGTCCAGACTCTCAGGCACGTGGGACTCTGCATGACAAGGGGGAACCTGGGGCTCAGGTCTCCGTGTCCACAAGGAGCAGGGTGCAGCTAGCCCTGTAAGACCACCCAGGCCCACCACAGAAGAAGCCTAGAGCTGCCTCCAGCCTGTCCTCACCCCCACCCCCCCACCCCACTTGCCTCCGGAGGCCCGGTGGTGAGGCCCACCCAAACAAAAAGGCAGGACTGGCCCTCAGGCCTCATCTCACACTGGAGGTGCTCATGGGGCTCTGCTTGGCTGGGGGGCGCTGCTGCCTCCCTCCCCCGGCACATGGAGTTCTTGATGCTTATGGCAGGTCAGTGCTGGGCATCTGGTCCATCTCATCCCTCACGGGACATAGTTCTCACCCCCAGTCCTGGGGCTCAGAGTCCCTGCAGCCCAGGTCACTCGCCAGCCTGAGTCACTCTGGGAGGGGCCCCAGGCCGGGGGTGAGGGTCAAGAGCACCCTGGAAGGCAGAGTCTGGCCCGATCTTCAAGTGCCTGGATTGGGCTGCACAGCACATCACTAGCAGGAAAGGGGAGCCTATTTTTCCTTGGATCCGGGGAGCCAGGGCCATGGGGCACTGGCTCCTGGCAGGAGTCGGGTTCCTGGTGGGGGATTTTTCTATGGACCCCAAAGACATCCAGCATCTCCTCTCTCGCCTAGCCCCACACCAGAGGCAGGAACCTGGGCTCAGTGACCCTCTCTGCCCCTAGCCAGTGCTGGCTCAGATGCCCCACACACCTCTAGACCAGCCTGCTGGGGGCGGGGGAGGGGAGGCACTAGTGTGGCCTCTGTATACTGCAGACATCAGGGAGTGACCGTATGGCCCCCAGCATTCTTTCCACCTTCAGGGGCCATGGGACCCTGCACGTTCTCTCCCTATCAGAGGTGCAAAGGCCCATGGGGATGAAGCCCCTCCTGAGCCTCTCACGCCTGCTGCTGCTCTCAGAAGCTCCCTGGAGCCTCCTGAAGTTCCGACCACACACCCCGGAACCCCCTGACAGACCAAGAACAGGGCGCGGGGCTATGACGTGCTCATCCTTTCTCTTGCCACCGGGTCCTGTGCAGACGCTGTGAGAAGTGACAGTGGCTGACTTTCCAGATTCCTGGGCGACAGGCACTGGGGGACTCCCACGAGGGGCCGGGTGAGCTACAGAGAGGCTCTGTCATGGGATCACCCATTGGGGTGCTCCCCCCGCGCTGTGCTCAGCCCAGGCGGTGGGTTCTTTGTAATTAGCCCAGACCTGTGCCCAGAGGTCTTTCCTTGGTTCCTGATGGCACCACAGGGTGGGGGCCCATGTAGGAGAGGGGGCGGTGCAGGCCAGTCTCTCTGTCTCCCGGGGCTGGCCAGCTCGGACTTCTCAGGGAAGAAAAAAGAGAAAGGGCTCCTCAGCCCCTCTCCTTTCACCCGGTGTCAACCCTGACCTGTCCTGGGGACCCACGGAGCCAGGGCCGCTGGTGCCGCCCACGCAGGCCACCTCTGGGAAGCTTGGGAGCACCTGCCTTTGATCCCGGCTTACTCACCACCACCGCTGGGAACGAGTCCCTCCTCCTCCCCATGGCCATAAACTCCGGCCAGGCCGCCTCAACGCCTCCCTCCACCCAGGCCTCAGATCTGCCGGGGGTGCGGGCGAAGGCGCAGCTTCCCCCCACCCACCTCCTGCGGGCGGGCGGCACTGAAGCCCTGCAGAAAGCTTGCCCTGGGAGTTCAAGGCGGATGCTAAAAAAAACAAAAACCGACTCTGCCCCAGGGCACCACGAGGCTGCACCTCCGCCCTGCCACATACCACTAAAACCCCTTGCTTCACCGGAAGAAAACCAGGGCCCAGGAAAACAAAGATGCAGGGTCAGGGGCAGAGTGGGCACAAGGCCAGGGGTCTGGGTGCCCAGCCCTTGCCACAGCCCCTCTTCCAGGACCTCAGACACTGGTCAGGAGACCCAGCACATATGCGCACACAGCAGGCATGCAATGCACGCACACATTTCCTCCCACATGCATGCATGCATGCATGCACGCACGCACTGGTGTCCTCTGGGAGCCTTCCCTCCTGAGCCTGGGGGGCCCTGCCCAGTCTCCGCCCTGCTCGGCCAGCCAGAGGAGAGGGGTGCCGGGCCCCGCCACCTACCTGGCCTCTACTTGCAGGTGTGCACGTCATAGACGCGGATGCACTCCTGGCAGCTGACGTAGCAGCACCAGTGGAACACGCACTGGCACTTCTCCTTGCGCTTCTCCGTCCGCGTGTTGTGGCCGCGGCCGCAGCACAGCAGGTCACAGCCATCGATGCCGTGGGAGGTGACATTGCAAGTCCGGTCCCTGGTGCCGAAGGAGCCCGTCTCGGGGTTGGGCTCGCAGAAGTTGGGGGAGTTTTCGTAGTAGACCAGGTCCCGCTCCGTGGGCGGCTTGAAGAGCGCGTACTTGGCGCGCAGCGTCTCCACCCAGCCCCGCGACTCGCGGTGCTTCTCCACCACCATCTCCGAGGCGCTGTCATACTTGTCCTTGAGGAAGTCGCCGATGGCGCGGAAGTCAGGCTGTGCCCACCAGCATGTCTTCACCTCGCAGCTGCCCGACAGCCCGTGGCACTTGCATTTGAGGTGCATGTGATCCAGGATGGTCTGGGGAAGAGCAGGAGACGCTTACTCACACCCAGTTCCCGCTCCCCCGTCCCCCCCCCCACTTTGGGAGGCTTCTCAAGCGCCCTCTCCGGGAGAAAAAGCCTCCTCCAGGGATGATCATGCCCCCGATTCCACCTCACATTCCGACGGGGACAGAGATCGCATCCAGGGGGTACTGTGCCCACTTCACAGAAAGGGACACGGAGGCTCCGAGCTTGGGTCGCTGCTCGGAGCTGAGGAAGTGGGGGTGGGGGTCAGCTAACCTCTCCAGGACACATTCCCAAAAGTGGGGTAGAGGAGGGGAAAGAAGTGTGAACAGCGGGGAAACAAGCATGGTCCAGGAAATGAGGGTAGAAGGTTGCCAGGGACGCCCAGGGACGCCCAGGGCCGGCAGGGGTGAGGCCAGCCAAAGAGGAATGGCCTGGAGTGAGGGCAGCCGGGGAGGAGCAGCCAGGGGCAGGCAGGGGTGAGGGCAGTCCAGGAGGAGCGGCCAGGGCCAGCAGACTTACCGTGCGGCCAGCCTCGTTGTTGTGCTTGTTCATGGCAGAGCGCGCGTCAGGCCTGTTCTCACGGGCGTCCGCGAACTCCCGGGACACCAACACCCCGAAGTCCGCGTCCTCGCTGCAGCCACCCCACTTCCAGCCCTCGCCAGGGGGGCCCTTGTGGTGCGAGTCGCAGCCGCAGATGGTGGAGGTGCCCTCGGCGCAGGAGCGCGTGACGGCGAAGGCCACGCCGGCCGAGGCGATGGCGTGCACAAAGGCGGACTCGCGCGTGGCTGCGGAGGGGGCGAGGAGGCGCCGCTCAGGCGGGGGTCCGGGAAAGGGCCGCCCCCCCAGCTCCCCAGCTCCCCATCCCCTCGCCCCTGGCAGAGAACACGCACCCAGGGCCCCCGCAGGAAACACCGGGCGGAGGCGGGCACGGGGGTGCAGAGGTTTGCAGAGGAACGCCAGCCCCTGCGCCCCGGCGCGCGGCCCGAAGCTGCCCCTGGCGACCCACCCGCTCCCGCCCGGGCGCCGCGGGGAGGGCGGTCTCCATGTCCAGGCGGCCGCCCCGGGGGGCTGCGCGTCCCCGCCGCTGACCCCCTCCGCCCCGGGGCGCCCCCTCCCCGGCCTGCCCGCGGGGCCCGCGCCCGGCTTCCGGCTGGCGGCGCCCGGCCCGGCCGCGCTCGGTTCCCAGCCCCGGGAAGGCGGGGGCGGCGGGGGCGCGGCGGGGATTAGCCTGGGAGCGGCGCGGCCGGCCCCGCTGTGCCGGTCCCCGTCCGGCGGGGCCCGCTGGGCCGCTCAATCCGCCTTTGTTCGCGCGGTGTCACACCGCATTACCCGCATAATGCGGCCGCCGGGCCCGGGCCGCCGGGCCGGCCGCCACCGCGTAGCAACGGGCGGCTCCCGCGGCCGGGCCGCGCCCCCGGCCCCGGCGCCGCCGCGCGAAATCCCCATTGAAGGGGCGCCCCCGCCCCGCCGCGCCCGGGCCCGGGGCGTGTGAATGGCGCGGCGGCCGCAGCGGGCGCGGGGCCGGGGGCGCGGCGGGGGGCGGCGCGGGGCCCCTTTCAAGCCGCCTAAGCCCCTCGGGGCCGCGCGCCCCGCCCCGCCCGCCGCAGCCCCCGCCGCGGCCTCTCGTCTTCCGGCCGCCGACCCCGCGCCCCGGTGCCCCCGCGCCCACCCCCGTGTCCCCGCACAGGTGCAGCGCGGACCCCCGAGGCCCCCCACATGTCCCCGCACAGGTGCGGCGCGAAGCCCCCAAGCCCACCCCGGTGTGCCCGCACAGGTGCCGCGGGAATCCTCCGTGCACCCCCTCCCGTGTCCCGGCACAGGTGCCGCGCGAACCCCCCGTGACCCCCCATGTCCCCGCAGAGGGGGAGAGCGAACCCTCCGCCCCCCATGTCCCCGCACAGGGCAGAGCAAACCCTCCGCCCCCCATGTCGCCGCATAAGTGCAGCGCGAGTCCCCGAGCCCCCCCTCCGTGTCCACGCACAGGGGCAAAATGACACCTCCCCCCCCCCCGCGCGCTCCCCATGTCCCCGCACAGGTGCAATTCGAGCCCACCCGGAGCGCGCGGGATACCCGCCGGGGCGACATGCGCGCCCCCAAAAGGCAGCAGCCGGAGCTACGCCTAGCTGCGGGCGGACTCCTGGCAGGGGTGTGGGCGTGTGCCTTCTCCCGGTCACTCGGTCACTCCGTGTTCCCCATCAGGTACCAGGCAGACCACCAGGCTCCCACCCCACCTGACTTCCCTCTCGCCTAGCAAAGAGGAAGGCTCGTGGCAGAGGCTGCAGGGGTGGGGCAGAACCCACAACACACCAATTAATTAAAAATCAGTGAAACGGTCAACACCGCCCTGCACCAGTCATACGCCCCCAGGACACCATCCTCTTCACCGGGGCGGTGTCCCCAAGGGGGAAAGCGAAATCAGAGGGGAGCCTTGCTTTGGGGGAGCGTCCAGACGCCAGGTCGTAGGATTAAGCGCTACCTGGCCCAAGGTGGGGCACCGGAAGCAGTGAAACCGACCCACCGCGAGGTCTGGTTTGAAATGCAAACCGCCGCCGCCACTTGGCCCAATTAGAGGCCAACCCTTCTAAGTAAACAAGGAGTAATTAGCTTTGGTAATGGAAGCGTAAACAGAAACATCAGCCATTGATTTGCTAATTGCCCTGCTCTCCCCTACAATGACCCGTGAGTCTGACAAGCCCCCCACACCTAGGGCCCAGAAGAGAGAGTCCGCACTCTAAAAGGGGGGCCTGGGGTCAGAGAAATGATAGCACAGAAAGAAGGTAGGTCATCTGCCTTGCATGCAGCCAGCCCAGGTTCGTTCCCTAGCCAGTGTCACATACGGTCCCCCAAGCACAGCCGGGAGGAAGTCCTGAGCATCACCAGGTGTTCCCTGAACCAAATAAATAATAAAGTGGGGTCCTGCTCCCCCACACACTCCCCGGCCAATTGGCCCTCAATCTTTCTCCTTTTTCTTAAGTTCATATCAGTGACAAAGTCCAGGTGGCTGCTAAGGGACACAACTGGTGTGTGTGTGTGGGGGGGAGGGTGTCACCAATTTTTAGGACTGCAATTCTGAGCCTTGCTAGTCTTTATCCAGGAACTCTGCAGGCTAGAGCTCCCTGGACTGGGGCACCTGACCCTCCTCCTGAACCTCCTCCCCTGCCACATTCTCTCCCAAAGGCTCCAGGTTGGCAGTCACACCCTGTGAATGGTGATGGAGCACCAGATGCCAGAGCCTATAGCAAGCAGGACCTCCTCCCCCCCCCCCAACAACACACACACACACAAACACACACACACACACACACACACACACACCTCCCCACCGTCCCTGCCCACAGCCCCAGTCCCTGTGCTCATATGCCTGGCAGGGCCATCTCCTGGTATACTTGGCAGCAATGATGTGCCCCAGGCATGGGGGGATGGTGCCCCTTTCCCATGCCACTTCACACAGCCTTGGGAAAATATCACACATGTGAAGCTGGGCTGGACGAGAGTCAGGGAGGGGCTGCCCAGGGCAGGAGAGGGTCTCAGAGCCAAGATGTCCCAGGGCCCAGCTGCACCTGGGAAGGTGCCCACAGAGGCAGCCACAGAGGTTCATCTGCACCCGGAGCCGGAGCCAGACCCTGCCCCAGTGCCCTCCCGGAGGGAAGTGTGTACCTTTGTCCAGGACGGGCCCAAAGATGGCCAAGCTGTCATCGATGGTGGTGCAGTTCCAGCGGCGGCCCCGGAACTGGTGCTGGCACTCCTGGATACCCAGCTTCACGCCCTCGGCCACGCTGGGCATGATCTCGATGTAGTTGCGGCAGAAACGCAGCTGCTTGGGGACCAGGCCGGGGATGGAGCCGCAGAGCAGGGGCTGTGAGCCCAGGGATGTGTACTGCTGGCCCAGGGCCAGGGACCTGCAGGCAGACACAGGACAGTGAGTCCAAAGCTGAGACCGCGGAACCCGGCACCCAGATGCAGCTCGTTGACCTCAGGGACACGCGTTCCTTGAAGGATAGAGCCGGGCAAGCTCCACCAGCAGTACAGGGGCGTGCAGCCCTGCAGACCACGCTGGCGGGGGCCCAGGTGACGGAAGATGGGACTGAGATCTAGGTCTGCTCCCCGGGCAGGCTGGACTAGGAAACGTTTCCTGAAAACGACCAAGGGTCTGTGGGAAAGTGGAAGGAGGCAGGGGCTGGTTGGACCCCAGCCCCACTCAGAGAGGACAGAGAAGTCTCTGCCCTGCAGGACACGGGCATGCACCTGGTACCCCGCCCTGTCCCGCACAGCCATCTCTGCCGCTCTCAGCAAGTTCCAGGAGACGTGACTCTTCTCTTGCCAGAGATGAGAGGGTGACGGTGTTTGGGAACAAGCGTAACACAGGGGCAGGTGGGAGAGGCCTCAGCCCACACCCATGGGCTCTGCGAGCGTGGTGTGGGACAGGAAAGGTAGAAAGGACATTGGGCGGCAGATGCTGAGAAAATGCCCCTGGGTCTCAGTGGACACAGGCCAGCGTGTGCAGGAGGAAGGAGTCCCCCGGCGGTCCTTCTCCCTCTACGTCCAGCGTCCAGCACTGAGCCAGGTTCTGGTTTGTCAGCGGCCTCAGTTGAGTCCCCCCAGGCCCCTGTGAAGAGATGGCTGAAACCTTCAAAAAGAAGCTTGGGGGACTGGAGCGATATCACGCGGGTAGGGCCTTGCACGCAGACGACCAGGGTTCAATTCCCAGCATCCCATATGGTCCCCTGAGGACCTCCAGGAGTAATTCCTGAGTGCAGAGCCAGGAGTAACCTCTGTGCATCACCAGGTGTGACCCAAAAAGCAAATATTAATTAATTAATTAAAAAAAAAAAAGAAACTAGGGCTGGAGGGGGTGGGGTGGGGTGGGGGCAGATGAAACAACACATGGAGCTTTCTGGCTTCGATAGGGATAAACTGGGTGGTGCTGCTGACTCTGTGGCAGCCATCTACCTGTGACAGACGTCCAGCCATCACGGAAAGAAGGACCCACTTCTCTGTGTGCCCACTCTGGGGTGAGTGGCAGAGGAGCCGGATCTGGGGATTCAGAGGGACTGTCCATTAGATGTTGTCAGATCTCGGGTGCAGGGGGTCTCCAAGGGGAAGGATCAGGTCACAAGGGCTGACTGGTGAGTTATTTACAGCCGCTCTGGCTCCAGCCGCCTTGCCCGGGGCCTGTCCACTCTCCCCAGGGCCTCTGGCCTCTAATCCCCACAGCAGCCCTATGGGCCCGGCGCCCTGTGGCCAACCCCCAGAGGACCATATGGGATGCTGGGAATTGAACCCTGGTCGTCTGCATGCGCTGGTGACTCACCACAGTCCCGGGGCCATCCTGCCTGCTGGGTCCTGCGGGGAGGGGGCAGGGGACCCTAGCATGTTTGCATGCTGAGCCCCCATACTGGGCTCTTTCCTCAACAGGATGGAGCACGCCCGCCTCGTGGACACCCCACAGCTGCCCTGCAGGACCCCGCCTGTCCCTCCTGTCCCTGCTATGAACAGATGAATGCAACCACAGTGACCATCAAAGCTCATGTCCCCCCTGCTGGCATGCTGGCCTCGTCATCCAGAGGGCCCATCTTGGAGGTGTTGACACCGTCACGGCAACTCTGCGATGGAGGAATTTTGTACCCACTGTCCTCACTCCTGTGCCTATTTGACAGGTGAGGACACTGAGGCCAGGGTGCTAAGTTAGCCGCCCTGGTAGGCAGTGCTGAGCCTCTGTCCCCCTTCTGGTGGCCTCTCCTCACGCCCTTTACCAAGCAGTCCAGGCCAGAGAAGCTGAGGCCCAGAGTGGCCCAGAGGACTCCGCCGATGGCCATTACGGGGCCCGGCTGCGGAGGCCTCAGGGGAAGAAGCCCCAGCTCCCCAACTCCCTCCTGAACCCGAAATAGGGACAAGCAGAGAGGAGAGTGGAGGTAGGACACAGGGGCTGCCCAGTGAGCCCTTCTGAAGGAGTGTGGGGCGACCCACCAGCCTGTTCTGCTGCCTCAGCACACGGGGCAGCCCCTGCATCCTGCCCGCTGGGCCCAGGCCCTTCAGGCTCCCAGCTGGGCTCCCCCACGCAAGGGCCCAACTCACACCACAGCCTGGAGGTGAAGACTAGCCCAGCCTGGTCAGGCCAGCGGCACACCCGCCTCTAACACCAGGAGTCCATGCCACCCTGCTCTGCCCTGGCAACAGCCACTGCCCTGCCCCGGGCATCAGTCTCTCCCTGCCCCGGGCATCAGCCTCTGCCCTGCCCCGGGCATCTGCCTCTGCCCTGACCCGGGCATCACTCTACTCACCTGCCTACAGGCCACCTGCCCCCTATCCCTAGAGGTGGGTGTATGACTCGGGGCTACTCCCCAGATCCCTCCCAGCAGCTTAGCCCCAACACCAGCCCTTCCATGGGGGACCCTGTTCAGGTCTCACAAGAGCTCTGCACAGTGGGTGCTGTTTTACATGGGGGGAAACTGAGGCACAGAGAAGCCGGTTGACAGACAAGGAACTGGCTAAGCCAGAATTCAAACTCTGGGTTTCTGTGGTTCTGTGTGTGAGCCTGGCACCCTGGGCACTTGCCTTGCACATGGCAAATCCGGATTTGATCCCTGGAACCCCATAAGCCACCCCCTCCAAAACCTGCCAGGAGAGATTCCTGAGTGCAGAGAGCCAGAAGTAAAACCGGGAGTGCTCCCCAAAATAAACCAAAAATCCAACCAAACATGAGCATGTCCCAGCCCTGATCCAAGAGGCACCGGCCCTCTCCCAGGCACCCGCGTCCCCTCCAACCCTGCTCGCTCCTGTCTGCCAAGCCCACTCAAGGACACAAGCTCTCCGTGCCTCAGTTTCTCAGCCATGAGCTCGATGTGATGAGCAAAACCGCGACTGGAGCCTGAGGGGACACACTCTGGACACAGGGCAGGGGGCTTAGCTTGTGCTAAGGGGCTGTCCCCAGCACCCATCCTTCCCTGTCTCGCCCAGCCCATTCCTCTGTGAGGGACCTTCCCTTCCAGCCTGGCACAGCCAGAGCAGAGGTGAGTGGGGCCCTTCCACTCAGCCACCCAGTCTGAACCTCAGTGGACCAGACAAAGTGCTGGGCTCCCCACAGGGCCAGGGCCGTGGACATCTGCAGGCCTCCGGCAGAGACCTCAGCTTCGACCCAGACACCCTCCTGGTAACTGGGAGGGGACTCTGGGAGGGGCTTAGCTCTTCACCTTGCAGGTGCGGGCCTGGTTTCTGGGGCAGAAAGGTCTCCCCCAGACCCATGCATCTGCCCTGGTGCTACCCAGACCTGAATCCCAGCACTCCACACAAGGCTCAGCCCCATGTGGCACTGCTGATGCCCACCCCCTCAGGGAGAGCCTCCTGGCCAAGGGGAAGCCACTTGGTTGGATTTGCCCAGGCAGCTCCTTGGTGGCTTCCAGTTTCCTTCTGCTCCTGGAGGGACCCCACAGCCCCAGTGGCGCGCGCGCGCACACACACACACACACACACACACACACACACACACACACCTTCTACCTGACTGAGGGTCCCTGCAATTCAGAGGCCTCCATGGGCCCCAGGTTGCCCCCTTTCCTGCATCTGTTTTCGCCACGGTCAGATCTTAGCACCGGTACATCTCCGATTCTAGCTGAGTCTCAGTCCTGGCCCCGCCACTCCCCCACCTGCCTCAGCAAAGGGCCAGGAACACGAGGGAAAGGGTGATTCTCAGGGCCAGAGCAATAGTACAGTGGGGAGGGTGCTTGCCTTGCCCATGGCAGACCTGGGTTCGATCCCCAGCACCACTCATGGTCCCTGAGCCCCTTCAGGAGTGACCCCTGATTGCAGGGCCAGGAGTAAACTCTGAGCACTGCCAGGTGTGGAAAAGAAAAGAAGAAAGGAAGGAAAGAAGGAAGGAAGGAAGGGGCTAGAGTGATAGCACAGTGGGTAGGGCATTTGCCTTGCATGCTGCCAACCCGGGTTCAATTCCCAGCATCCCATATGGTCCCCTAAGCACCTCCAGGAGTAATTCTTGAATGCAGAGCCAAGAGTAATCCCTGAGCATCGCTGGGTGTGAGAAAGAAAGAAAGAAAGAAAGAGTGGAAGGAAGGAAGGAAGGAAAGAAGGAAAGAAAGAAAGAAAGAAAGAAAGAAAGAAAGAGAAGAACAGTCTTCCCCAGAGCTAATCCGAACCCCACCCCATCATCTTGCAACCCCTCGGTCCCATTCCCCAGGGCTGCGGCTTCCGGAGCTTCTGCCCACACACAGAACAAGACTCCTCGGTTCCGCTGAGGAAATTCCTTCACTGAGGGCCTGAGACAATGGTCAGCTCCCAAGGGAAGGAGAGACCCGCCTGGCACCAGCAGCTGGTGCGGGGGAGGGCAGAGGGCACTGCCAGGCCTCCTCAGGTGGGCAGGGGCTATTTATACTGGGCTCCTGGCTGCCGGGTGCCCCGCCCCCCACCTCCTGAGGACAGCTCTTCCTCTACCCAGCCACCCACTGTCCATAGGGCTCAGGACAGGCCTGGGCCGCCAGCGGATGGACAGTAGATGCTGGCCAGCACCCAACGGGCTGCTTGACGTTGACCCCTCAGATAATAGGCCTCACTATATGCCTTAGTCTCTCAACCCTGCACACTGCAGGTCATACACATATATGCACACGTGTATACACACATGCTCACATACACACACACACACACTCACACATACAGTCACAACACAAGTATACACACACGCTCGCATACACATACTTATACACGGTATGTATACACGCTCACACATAGAGTCACATACAAGTACATACATGTAGACACTCATACACTCTCACACACACGTACATACTCATACACACACGCACAGCTTCCCTTAAAGAGCCATTGGGGGCTAGGGAGACGCCCAGTGGACTGAGCCACAGCTCTGCATGCAGGAAGCCCTGGTGTC